GGGCAGCTTCTCCCTTCTTGTATCAGCTTGGGGGAAACAAAGATGCGTAGCTCCTGTTGAACACTTATCTGGTAGAGATTTTGATTTATGGGTCATTTATCCCCGTGATCTGGAATTTAGGGATTCCTTGTATGTTATCTGCATTCTTAGAGTAAGAGAATAGCCAAAAGTGAATTCACTTCTGCCCTCAGGTAGTTTTTGCTGTTGCTCCTAGCAGTCAGCTGCTGATTGTTAGGAAACCTCACCCTGTCTTAGGGTGTGTCTTTGTTCTTTGCATTTCTAACTTGTCAAGTCATTAATAATGGGCTTTTATTCTTCAGTTTCCTAGCAGTTATTTTGATATATGCCTGAAGGCTTTACTTTTCCCTCTCTCAAACTTGTTACTTCTTGATGGTTTATATAAAAAGTCATTGCTTTTAGCTTGAGAGTGCCGTGCACTTGGGGGTTGGATGAGAACTGGAAAGAGATTTTGATGGTGTATTCCTTTAAAAATAGTCAAGATGCCTGGTGTTCTCAGTACAAAGGAGTGAGGACTTTGAAGGTACTCCAGGATCTCAGCAAGGTGAGATGGCACTTAAGGGAGAGTGGTGCAGAGTGGCAATCTGGGAAGACTTGATGTCACTGGCATCCAGGAGGGTGTTCGCCAACACTATAAATTTAAAGGAATGCCTTTCTGACTCAGCTACTTCTGGCCATTTCCTGGGTGTGACTTCGTGCCTTTGCTTTTTGCTAGATACATTTGTTTAAAAAAGAACATAACCAGATAAATTCTGGTCTACCAGTTGAATTCTTCATAGATGAGTTTCTGTTTTTTTTTTTTTTTTTTTTTGTAGAGACAGAGCTTCACTTTTTCGCCCACGGTAGAGTGCTGTGGCATCACACAGCTCGCAGCAACCTCCAACTCCTGGGCTTAGGTGATTTCCTTGCTTCAGTCTCCCAAGTAGCTGGGACTATAGGCACCTGCCACAATGCCTGGCTATTTTTTTGTTGCAGTTTGGCTGGGGGCAGGTTTGAACCCACTACCCTTGGTATATGGGGCTAGTCCCTTGCCCATTGAGCCACAGGCGCCGCCCCAAGTTTCTGTTGTTTTTAATTACTTCCCTTTTTAAAACAAATTATTACACTAGAAAATACAGTCTTTCAGACTACATGTGTTTAATATTTCAAGATACTGTATGTTTATTCCATTTGGTATTGTACGTAATTTTCTTTGAGTGCCAAGAGTTGGTTTACTGCCAGCTTTATTATTAGTTTAGTTTGGGAGGTGTCAACTAGTGTGAACTAGCTGACAGTAAGTGGAATCTTCTAAAGCAGGATCTATTATTTTTAATCTAAACTTCTGCTTAGGAGCAGATGTCTTTCATGGCATCTGAGAGAGTGTCATGACATAAGGCAGTCAGAGTCTGCATGTAGGTAGATGATCACAGACAGACAGAGGACACTGTAGCCCCACGTCCCACAGCAGCGGTCCTGCTGTCCCCGGACGGTGAGCACAGGTGTACAATGGTGTACTTCTCTGGGGAGGTGGTCTTTAGGTCTGGGAACATTGTAAAAGTCAATGGGATTTCAAGACTGGATCTGTGAAATAATTTTCCGAATAAGAGGTAGTTTGAAGGGCTACTGAGATGGAGAAGGTGTAAAAATGATAGACTGGAAAGGGTGTCATTGAACCATCTGGGTCTCTTAAGTGTGATCTGGAATAAAGAAGCTTCAGCTGCAGCCTGGAAAGAAGCTGTTCCTGGGAACACGGCTGCACTCAGAAAGCAGAACCACAACAGGGGATACTCCGTGTTTTCTTTGTGAATGCTGAGACTATTGCATTCATCCCACCATTTTTGTGGGGCTCATCTACTTTGGAAAGAGCCTAAGGGTAAAGGAAGTCACAGGGTACCCCTGACTGGTCTCTGATGTCAGACGTGGGCTGTGCCACAGACCCTGCTCCTGAGTGTGGCCTGCCTCTCTGCTCATCCTAACTTCCTGTGTGTTGTGGGAGGGAGGCCAGGCCCTGACAGCAGCGGTTCTCAGTGTGGGGCAGACCTTAAGCTGCCTTACAGAGTTTGCACAAAACGTGAGGCACTTACTGAGCTCAGCTGTCTGTGTGCAAGGTGCCTGGTCCCTGACTGTAAATCAGGGGCCTTTGAAGCATTGCAAAGCCAAACACGCACCACTTTATTGTACTCCACAGAGCTCTTGCGTTTCTGCAGTAATAAAGAGAGGTTGATGTGCCATCTGCAATAAAACAATGGGAATGTTATTAAGTTTCTTAGATTTTTGATGTAAAGACCCATACATCTGGTTTCTCTTTCCCTGTGTCCTTTATTGCAAGACTCAACAAAGGTTGGGCAATTTGCAGTAAGGTCATTTTTGTTAATATTTGCTGGAGATGTAATCTCCATGTTGGCATAGATGGGACTAGGGAATGTCTGTTACCTCACAGCCATCTCCCATCTCCAGATGTGCAGAAAACTGACCCCTGAGCCCCCATCAGCCACATCAAGAGTGAGGCCTGGAAGCCTGATAGTGTCCTCACTGTGCTGGGGTGTGGACACTGCCCCTTGCCTTTCTAGCTGTAACTGTTCATACAATGCTGTATGTTTTGATGTAGGTGATTCTGGTTCCTGATGGAATTTAGAGCAACCATGGCTGTTACATTTTTCCTGAAGGCTGCCAGACTCAATCCGGCCCATATTTCCTTGCCAGGTCCATTGAGCCCTTTTCTAAATAATTTATCAGTTTGCCACTGTTGAAATATTTCTTCTGATTAAATTTAAGACTTTGCCTTATTACCTTGTTGGTGCATAAATTTCTGTTCTGCAGAAGATTGAGGGGAAAATGCCAGCTGTTGTTCCTGTGGAAAATTCTGCAGTGAAACCTCACTCACTTTATCACCGGCCTCAGTGGGGAGTTCTGTCGGGCGGTGGGTGAGAGAGCATAACGCTGGGAGTATGCAGTGAGGAATTTATCTTCCTGAGAGTTTCTCTAACAGACTGGGACTCTGACAGCTTAGTGCAGGATATAAGTTAGGAGCTGGACCAGAGGGGGAGAAGCAAACAGGTGGAGTCTCCCTCTCTGAGTCCTTCTGTCCCAGAGGCTGTCCTCCAAGCAAGGGCAGAGGCCACACTCCTTTACTTGGGGTGAGTTTCTGGTGGCTTAAAAGCAACCTTATGGGGTGGGGGATATTCATCATTTACTAAAGATGGTGAAGCTATTTGGTGAAGCTTTCTGTTGGCAGGTGGCTGGAATGACCTCTAGCTGTGTCCATTTGTCCAATGTGTGTGTCTAGGGCAGACACTCTTCCATCATGAGTGCTCTTTGTAGAAGGGTCTCTTATCCCAACCAAGCCAGTGAGTGGCCACTGTGGCAAGAATGTTGTGGTCACTGTGGTGTCTTCAGGAAGCTGAGTGGTCACGAGAGTCCGTTTTGAGTTACCTGGCAATTCCTAGTCATCCACACATAGCAATCCTTGTGGATTGAGTTGTGTGGGTCTTAAGCTTCAGCTGCCCTTCAGCTCCTCCTGCTTCTCAGGTGTGTCTCAGTTAATCCCTGGTCATGGAGTGCAAGTCGGATTCACTGTAAAGTGAATATGCTATCTGTGGCTCTTCATGCAGGGCATAGTGCACTCGGGGAGAAGTTCCAGAACAAAACTGCTGCCAGACCTGATCCGGAGCCAAACTGAGGTCACTGTGCGTGTTCCCCTGATGATCACCCCCTGCTTGGTATTGATTATAGTGCAGTGCTCGCCCTGGTGAGACTGGTACTGAGGACAGCACTGTGCATACCCTTGTGAGTCTGATACTGAGGACAGCACTGTGCACACCCTTGTGAGTCTGGTACTGA